CCCACAGGCTGCTCTGGCTGCTGCCCCAGGGCCACCGGCCCAGGTCCCAGAGCCCTCCCCTCCCTCGGGGCTGGGGAGCAGCTGCGGTCCTGGGGGGGGCAGGACTCTCTGCCCTTCATCTCTGGGCCGCCCTAGGGTGCTGTAGCCTCGGGGCGCATGAACCCCTGCAGGGCTGGCCTCTCTCCTGCTAGCTTCGGGCTCCCAGAGGCTGTGGCTGTGCCGCCTCCCCCGAGCTCCGGGCCCGGTGCCCTGGAGACACAGCTGCCCTGGCCCACACCCTTTGGGGTGCCGTCCTCTCTGCGGTTGTGGGGAAAGCCAGCTTTGCAGGTAGATGTCCCCTCATCCAGGGAGGCTTCCCGCACGTGACCTGCTCACGGGGCCAAGAGGGGCGTGGGGCGCGGTGCGGGCCGGGCCTCCCCCTGCTGGGACTGCAGCCTCCTTCTTGGGGACACAGGTCTGGCTGGCAGTGCCAGCCGTGGGGAAGCGGGAGCTGGGCCCGCCTCGGGGAGTGGTCTCAGTTCTCTCCCTGCCCAGTGGGTCAGCACCCCTTTTAACGGCTGGGAGCTTGAGGCTGGGCCTGAGGTTTCACCCTGCAGAGGAGGGTCAGGGACACAGTGCAGAGCCACAGCCTGGCACGTCCGGCCTTTCCTCCCTGGAGCGCGCCTGGGCTGCTTCCCAGGCCCAGCAGCTGCCCCTCCCCGGGCAGCCTGGGCCCTCCCTCCTGCCGGGGTGACCGACAGCCGGCCCTCCTGCCCCTCCGCGCCCCGTCCCCGCGGGCCTCATCGGGTCACCCCGAGGATGGCAACGGGCTCCCCACCTCAGGTCCCCTCCAATCACCCCCCCCCCTGCTCGGACACTTCGGTCTCCCCCAGACCCACAGGTTAGCCTCTGCACCCCATCTTCCCGGCTCCTTCTCTGCCCCTGAGTCCTGCCCCACAGGACTTTGGAAGAGCTGGCACTCCCGCACCGCCAGCAGAGGGGGACCCCGAGGCCCCCAGTGGAGGCTGACCGTGCAGGCTGGGCCTCAGCCATAAACCCTGTGACCGCCCCCCTGGACAGCAGGCCCTGGAGGTGCCCTGCAGGGCGGGGAGGGGCCGGAGGGAGGGAAACCAGAGGGAACCTCTGGCCTAGAGCCCCTAGGGGCTTGGTGCCCCCCAGCCTTTCCCTCTTGGGGTCCCCATGGCTCCCTTAGAGGTTATTCATCCCCAGGTGAGCCGGGGCCCCTCCCCACCGGCCATTCCTTCCTACTGACTATCTCCCCGAGGTCCCCACGCACCCAACACGTCCAAGCTCAACTCAGTGCCTCCCCCCCCCCCCCCCC